ATACAACTGTAAGCACTGTATAGGAATTTGCATGATTGCCTTGCTTGCTTGCTTGCCTTGCTTGCTTGATTATAAAACTGCTGGCTGTACTGTCCCAAGGTATGGATTCTTCACCGACCAGCTGCCATCGGTGCCTCCCCTAAGTCTTAATAAAGCATTGTCTGGCTGTGTGCAGTGGCTCATGCATGCAATCCCTGCACTTGGAAGGCTGAGGCAAGAGGATTACCTGAGTCCAGGGGTTCGAGACCAGCCTGGGCAACTTGGCGAGACCTCGTCTCTACAGCAAATCAAAAAAATTAGCACATGCCTGTGGTTCAAGCTACTTGGAAGGTTGAGGCGGAAGGATCACCTGAGGCCAGCAGGTTGAGGCTGCGGTGGCTGTGAGCGTGCTACTGCACTATAGCCTGGGCGACAGAGTGAGACTCTGACTCAAAATATAATAATAAAAAATAAAAAATAAAGCAGTCTCTCTCCCTGCTAAGCCTCCAAGGGACTTTTTTGGAATAGGTGAACACTACACACAAGTCCTCTCAGATTTGAGGTTACCATGTGACATCACTTACAATGAGATATACCTTGTGCAATCCTCTGTCCTGCTTGGCCATATTCCTGGCTCTTACCTCCCTGGCAACTGAACACACACTCTACTGCTAGGCAGACTGACTAAGATACATATCCTCCAGCAACCTCCAAGGCAGAAGTGTAATCTGTGCTAAAGCCAGTACCTGGCTCAGTGATGGCTCACGTACTGTCTCTGCCGGAGAAGGGGGCGAGGTAGAAGGGAGAAGACCAGGCAGGAACCCCCATTTACTCGTGGCCAGCCTTGAATGGGCAGATTTACCTATGGTAGTATTTTTTTTTTTGAGTTGGGTGGTCTCCAGTTGCCCAGGCTGGAGTGCAGTGGCACAATCACGGCTCACTGCAGTCTCAAACTCCTGGGCTCATGCAATCCTTCTGCCTCAGCCTCCCAAGTAGCTGAGACTTACAGACGTGTGTCACCACACCTGGCTAATTTATTTTATTTTATTTTTTGTAGAGATGCGGTCTTGAGATCTTGCTATGTTGTCCAGGCTGGTCTTGAACTCCTGGACTCATGCGATCCTCCCACCTCGGCCTCTCACAGTGCTGAGATTACAGGCGTGAGACACAGCGCCTGGTCACTTCGCTGTTGGAATTCTGATATAGGGTAATGCCCATGGGGTGGCCTGCTGTTGACTTTTGGGGAGTCCTCTGTAACCTTGGCAATCCTACCCGGAAAACATGCCTGTTTGCTCCAGCTCTCCTGACCTGTTCTCTGGGGCCATGAATCTGTAAACACTAAAGAACTTCCGGGGATGGGTACAACCCAACCCACCTTCATTGCCTGGGGCAACTTCTTCCAGCCATGCAGTCAGGAAAAACAATACTAAAATCAGAAAGCCAGTTCTCCCTCTTTTTTGGCCATCTGGCCTTTCCACAGAAAATAAAAGTGCTGGCCAGGCGCGGTGGCTCAAGCCTGTAATCCCAGCACTTTGGGAGGCCAAGGTGAGACGATTACATGAGCCCGCAGGTTTGAGACCAGCCCAGGCAACTTGGCAAGACCTCGTCTATACCATTAAAAAAAAAAAAAAAAATTAGCTGGGCGTGGTAGCACGCACCTGTAGTTCTGGCTACTTGAAAGGCTGAGGCGGAAGGATCGCCTGAGTCCAGTAGGTCGAGGCTGTGATGGCCATGAGTGTGTCACTGTACTCTAGCCTGGGCGACGGAGTGAGACTCCAACTCAAAAAAAAAAGATAAAGAAAATAAAAATAAAAGTGTTGTTTCCAGGGTCTCCTCCAGAAGACACATCCTTCTTGCTAGCAAGGAAGAGTCACTGAGCTGGTTAGGACTGGGCCAAGTCTGTGATAAGGTTTGGAATTTATAGGCACTTATGTGACTGTGACTAAGCCATGAATCAACGATGAGCGCTACCTAGAGTGTCTGTGAGAAACAGACATTCCTGACCTCCAAGCCTAGGTACTCCAGGGGAGGGCCCAGGAATTACTGTTTTAACCAAGTGTCCAAGGTGGTGTTCGTCATGTGGGAGATTTAGAAAGCTTAGAGTGGTGCTTCTCAATGTGCGGTCTTTGAACCATAGCATCACCTGGGAACTTTTTGGAAACGAAAATTCTGGGGCTGGGCTGGGTACAGTAGCTTAGGCCTATCATCTCAACACTCTGGGAGGCTGAGGTGAGAGGATTGCTTGATGCCAGGAGTTTGAGGCCTGGGCCACATAGTGAGACCCTTGTCTCTACAAATAATTGAAAAGAAAAAAAAAAAAAAGGAAAGAAAAATAATAAAAAAGAAAATTCTGGGGCCCTATACCAGATCAAATGAACCAGAACTTCAGCCCAGGAGTCTGTGCTCTCGCAGGCCCCCGTCCTTGGAACGAGTGAGTCTGAGCCAACCCCAACTTCTGGCACTGACTCACTTGTTTAAGGAATCCAGCACAAGACTCTCTGGGCCTGCCCCTCCTAGGGAGAGGCTGCAAGGAGACAGAGTGACAGGGACAATAACTGCTGGCATTGACTCGCTGGTACCGGGCATTATATCTGTGCTTTATTGGATTTAATCCTCACAATAAACCTCTTAGGCACAGCGCCTTCACAGATGAGGACACTGGGGCCCAGAGAGGCTAAGTGACTTGCCTACGGCACGCAGGGAGTAGAGCTGGGCCTCAAATCCAGGTCTGCCCAACTCCAAGGTCATGCATGTCCTGACACATTCCCGCTGCTGCTCTCTGCAGCAGAGACCTCCATTAAGTCCTCCAAACTCATGGATAGTGAGGTCCTGGGCTGGACTGGTTAAGGCCTTAAAACCCTGTCATTTCTCCTCTTCTAGTCTAACATCTCAGCCAGGAAGGACCGATGGCTGAAAATGCACCTAACTCTGCCTGGTGCTGTCAGGAGGAGGGGGAAAAAAAAAACACACACATTTTTGGCATCCTCCAGAAAGATGATGACATTTGCAGTTCCTATCTCTGGCCCTGCACTTGCATAGCCTCTAATGCTAGTTCTTTTGCCCTCTTTTTTTTTTTGGAGTCCAGTTGTCACTCTGACACCCAGGTTGAAATGCAATGGTACAATCATGGCTCACTGTAGTCTCAAACTCCTGGGTTCAGGTGATCTGTCCACCTGAATCTCTCAAGTAGCTGGGACTACAGGCATGCACCACCATGCCTGGTTACTTTTTTGTAGAGATGAGGTCTTGCCATGTTGCCCAGGCTGGTCTCAGACCCCTGGGCTCAAGCAATCCTTCCGCCTTGACCTACCAGAGTGCTAGGATTCCAGGCATGAGCCACCGCATCCGGCCTTTTTTCTAGCCTTGATTTTGAGTAAGATAAGGCACGTATCGTGCTGCACGGATGTCGCATGCTCACTGCGCTACCCTCCTGCCACGGCTGCTACCAATCTTCCTGGAATGCCCTTGCTACATTATGGGAACTTGCCGCCCCACTGCCTTTCACAGTTGATAAATAACAGCAGAAAAGTTCTCAGGGCAGGAAAGTGGTGCTGACCCACACTCATTCACACTCATTCAAGGTCAAGCCTGTGCTCTGACATGCAGGACCACCCAGCCACACTGCAGAGACAGAGTGGACTGCGTGGTATCCCCATCACCTGGGCGGGGTGTGTCTCCAGGGGTGCTCTGGATAGAGATGCAGGGTTCCAGGGTATCGATGTGCAACTAGTGGCAGCTTCAAAACTGCAGGTACCGAGTGGGAGGCTGTCCCTGGCACACACGGAGGGGTGGTCGTGGGCAGCCCAAGAGGTGGTTCAGCCAGCATATGTGACCCCAGGGCAGAGGTGCTACATGCAGCTAAAAGCAGCTCTGCCCAAAAGCATTTCTTTCAAGAAGCCGTGTTTTGCTTTCTTGATCCCCAATATTCCTGTCACCAGGGCTGTTTGCAAGTGTCCGGTGTAGACTCCAGTGCCCAGCGGGGCTGCAGTAAGCATTCCCACCCTGAGAACTGCAGAACAGCTGGCCCTATGCCAACATCGTCCTTTAGCTCAGTTCTCTCTCGGCGCCCTTGATAATCTTCTGTTGAGCATCTGAACCCTTCTCCATGGGCACCGGTAGCCCTAGGGTACAAACAGGGGTCCCAGGAATGGAGCGTGATGTCCCCAAAGGCATCACCCAGTTAGATATGATCCACTTGTCGCCGCGTGTGGTGCTTTTTGCCCCCCTCTCTACCCACAGGAGGAAAAAAGACACCCAGAGAGGTAAGATGGCTTCCCCAAGACCACACAGTGAGCCAGTGGCTGAGTCACCCGATTCCAGCCGCCCCTCATGACATACCACGTCAGGGTGCCTTTCTGCCCGTGTCCCCCCCATAGAATCCGTCAACTGCTCACAGGCAGAACCTGGAACCCCTTCTCAATGCTTAACAACGTGCCAGGGATTTGGCAGGTGCTCGAGGAATACTACAGACCCTTTGAATTAAGTCAAATGGATGCGGTCCTCACTGGCTTACGAGGGGCTGAGAATCCAAAGGGATAGGGGAGAATAGACTTCAGGCAGCAGGGAGACGGGAACCTGAGCTGGATGCTCCATGCTGGTCTCCATCATCCCGACCCCAGTCGCAGTCGCCAGTGGCCTCTTGCCCACTTCACAGGGTCCTGTGAGGATAAGCTGACAAGGCGACGGGCACGAACGCCCTCTGTCCACGGCCCAGCTCTGTGCCAGGCCACCTACAAGTGTGTGTTTGTGCCACACGCTGTCTCCACACTCACACAGAGCAGTTCATGCAACTGTTACGCTCAATCTGCAAGGAAGCTTCTTCTGGTGCTACCCTCACTTTACAGGTGGGGAAACTGAGGCAGAGGCTCCGTAACTGGCCTAGGGTCAGCAGGTGGCAGAACCAAGATTCAAACCCAGAAAGTCTGGCTCAGTTTCCCACTGCTGATGAGCAGCTGGGCTGCCCTCCCAAAGCGAGGTTGTCACGAGGCCACCGCCCCGGGAGGCCATGGGCACGGGCTGACCTGCTGGCGGCGTCCTCCTCCGCGCCCTTGTCCAGCACGCTGCTCAGGTTGTGTTCCGCCTGCGTCTCCTCGGGCACCTCCTCCAGCTCCTCGGCCCGGCGCATGGACAGTCGGTAGTTCTCCAGCTCGATCCTCTCGGGGGTGCCCCGCAGCCGCTTGGCGATGCTGGGCTCCTCCAGGCCATTCACACTGGAACCTGTGGGACAAGCAGAGGCACCGTTCTGATGACAAACGGCGGAAAGGGACAGCAGCCACAGATGGCGGGGGTTGTGGGAAGGAGGGCCCGATGGATCCCCCAAGGCAGCCACCCCTCATTCACCAACAGAGTCCCAGCACCCAAAGCTGCCACCCCTCGGTGCAGTGACGTCAAGTCAGAACAAAGGACAGATCCAAAGTCAAAAAGGTCACGTTTGTGAGAAGCCAGGAAGGGACCCTGGCATGAGTGACAGAATGCCACCAAGTAGGAGAAACCAAGCCAGGTGGTCTCTATCTACCCTGCAGGTGAGGTGAGTTCACTGCTCCTTTATCACACCTGAACCCCAGCCAAGTTGAAGGAACAGCCAACCTACCCTGTGCCAGTGACCGGGTGGAGGGAGAGGACGTGGCCTAGACCTCAGGGAAGCCCCAACCCCTGCTGAGGAGCCAAGCACTTCTTAAGCAGTTTGGCACTGCCAAGGTCAGGCTCTGTGTGTGGCTGGCTCCCCTGAGGTGTCCAGGCAGAACGCCTCCCATGGCGGATTTGCCTCATGGTTAAATTTATGGGAGACATTTTTTGTTTAATAAGATGGCAGGCTGGGCACAGTGGCTCAGGCCTGTGATCCCAGCACTTTGGGAGGTTTAGGCGGGAGGACTGCTTGAGGCCAGGAGTTTGAGATCAGCCAGGGCAACGTGACCAGACCCCTATCTCTACAAAAATAAAAATAATAAAGAGAAAAACAAAACATTTGGCCAGGCTCAGTGGCTCATGCCTGCAATCCCAGCACTTTGGGATGTTGAGATGGGAGGATTGCTTGAGTCCAGGAGTTTGAGACCAGGCTGGGAAATATAGCCAGACCCTGTCTCTCCAAAAATTTTAAAAATGAGCCAGATGTGGTGGTACATTGCCTGTAGTCCCAGCTACTTGGGAGGCTAAGGTGGGAGGATTGCTTGAGGCTGGGAGTTGGAGGTTGCAGTGAGCTATGATCGTGCACTACAGCTTGGGCCACAGAGTGAGACTATGCCTCAAAATAAACAACAACAAAAAAACCCAGCAACATGGCACAGGTGACGCTGTGCCTGCCCATGGCATCACTGCTCAGCAGAAGAACAAGCCAGGCCCGAGGACCGGGCTAGGGCAGTACCCGCCCTCTCTCACGACAGGTACATTCCCCTTAAACTCTCAGTCCCCTGTGAGGGGACGCTCAGAAGCCACAGGGTTGTCCGGCCCCAGCACCCCTGGGTCTGAGCACCACTGATGACCTTTGCCTGAGTCAGCTAGGACACTGGGGCCACAAAACAGTGATTTTGAAACTCCTGCCATTCCCACTCCACTATTATTCTTTGGTAAAGAAGCACTTTCCCTTTTTGCTTCATTTTTTCAGGTACTATCGTGGACTCCTAGATTCTTAAACCTTCAGCGTTGTGACTATCATGTCTTTCATCTCCTTAATCTAGAATAGCTCGTCTCTGTTAGGACCACCACTGTTCTCTTTTGATGTTCCCTATTGTCCCCACTGTGGTCAGAGGAGGCCGCCATTTGTTCTTTGGTGTGTCCACTGTAATGTGATGCAGTACAGAGGTAGGGATGAGGTGAGATAGACCCAGGTTAGATCCCTGACTCCACCTAGTGATTGGCGGAAGGGTCTTAGAAAAACCTCTAAGCCGAGCTTGGTAGCTCAGCCTATAATCCCAGGCCTTTGGGAGGCCGAGATGAGTGGATTGCCTGAGCCTGTGGGTTCGAGACCCGCCTGGGCAGCTTGGCGAGACCTCATCTCTAC